CACACGGGTGGCGGGGTCCCTCCGTCTGTGCGGCTTTGCTCGGGGGCAAAGGAGCAAAGCCACACGGGTGGCGGGGTCCCTCCGTCTGTGCGGCTTTGCTCGGGGGCAAAGGAGCAAAGCCACACGGGTGGCGGGGTCCCTCCGTCTGTGCGGCTTTGCTCGGGGGCAAAGGAGCAAAGCCACACGGGTGGCGGGGTCCCTCCGTCTGTGCGGCTTTGCTCCTGTCTCCCTGATCTGCTGGGGGGGTCCAGCAAAGCCGCTGGACCCTCCCTGCAACCAGGGACACCCGAGCAAAGGTGACCAGGGAGACCGGGAGAAGCTTTTCTCGCCCCAGAGGACACGGGTGGCGACCCGCCGCCCGTGAGCTCCGGGGCGAGAAAAGCCCCGTTCGTAAGTGCGGATCCGACGTAAGTCGGGGACTGCCTGTATTTCAAAATAACTGCCTGCTGTGTAGACGCGGATTAAGTTATTTCAGAACAGAGCTAGTTATTTCGAAATAGTGTTGCAGTGTAGACGTACCCTCTAGATAGCCACTCAGAGTGGAGTAACACTTAAATACTTTAAACAATTTTTGTTTGCAACTGAAAAATAACATCATTTCATCAATTGGAAGTCAGCAATTGGCTTGACCAAACAGATGCTGACCAGGATTTATATGTAAGTGCAGGCAGGGACAAACAATTGCCAGTATTGGTTCAACTGGACTTATTTAGTCTGCAGAAGAGAAGAATGAGGAGGGATTAGATAGAATCCTTCAACTGCCTCGAGGGGGGTTCCAAAGAGGATGGAGCCAAGCTATTCTCCAGTTACAGTATGGGAGGTCTAGGTTGGTTATTAGGGAAAACTATGTCACTAGAAGAGCATGTAGTATTGGAATGGGTTACCTAGGGAGGCGGTAGACTCTCCATTCTTAGAGGGTTTTAGGATCAGGCTTGATAAAGCCCTGGCTGGAATGATTTACTTGGGGTAATTCAATTCTTGCTTTGAGCAGAGGGTTGGAATAGATGACGTCCTGAGGTCTTTTCCAACTGTAATCTTCTGTGATTCTATGAACTAATCTTAGTTTACTCCTGCTTTGACAAGGTCTTCATTATTTGTGCATTTGTCTATTCACTGAACTAGCTGAAGCATAAGTATTTCAGTTTATCTACACTCAGCTTGACTGAATTATAAACCAATTGTCTTAAACCAATTTAGTACAGAAGCCTATCTCTACTGGAGGAGATGTGAAGAGTGGTGCTACCAGCCCTCTTTCACAGTTACCTCCCGTAGTTTGCTGGCTGACAGTTCCATCTTTATTGCCCTCTGCCGTGCCCTTTCCATATGCTCCCCTTTAACCATTCCTACTTTGTAAGTACCATCTGGGTGCACAGTAATGCTCACTCCCTCTCACATAGTGCAGCAGGGGAAGGTGCAGACTAGCTAAACCCAGTGGATGTTAAGCTTGGGCACAATATGACAAGCTAGCATGGTAACACTAAACTTTAAAGGGAGATAAAAAATATGAAAAACGTTAGTCAAAAAACTAAAATAAAAAGATGTATAATTCTGGTTACCTATTTTAAAATAAGATCAATTCAGGTGCAGAAAGTAGCTCCTAGGATGATCAGGGTGATGGAGGGCCTATCGTAGGAGAGGACACAGAAGGTGAGTCTACACTGCACCATAAACTCAAAAAACGATACACAATCTGTACTATGAAAATTGCATATCTTATTTCTATTCTATTTAAAAATAGCTTATTTTGAAATCTGGCATGTCTACACAGTGACAAATCTCAAAATAATACACTATTTTGAGATATTCTTTAACCTTTATGGAACAAGAGATACAGGGATGCTGAAATAGCGCACTTGTTATTTTGAAAAATATTTTGAAATAACAGGCAGCTCATTAAGACGCGGGGTAGCTAAAAGAGTTTGGCTGTTATCCTAGAAAGAAATAGGGCTGAAGGGGATATTACTACTCTATATACATACTTTAAGGGGTTAACCACAGGAAGGCGAAAAACTATTTAAACTAAAGAACAAAATGGGTATAAACTGGCCATGAATAATTTCAGGTTACACATTGTCTTCATCCATCAGAGAAGTGAGGTTCTGGACCAGACTTCCAGTAGGAAGAATGAGATCAACCAACCTAAGCTAGTCTTAAAATAGAGCTTGCTAATGTTATCATTGAGATTACATGATTGGTTGCCTGCAATAACTCATGACTAGACTCCATGACTCAGGAAGTCCCACCCAGGCCTGTGCTGTATATTCATATGCAAGGAATTAAAATTAAAATCAGTTTTTATACCAGAAAACAAATGTGTAATAATTGTAATAGCTATGTGTAAAAAAACACTAGTAGCAATCTTAGGAGATACAGACCTTACTTCAGTACAAGGTAAATGGGTAGAGCCGATAATTAAAGAATTATAAAATACTGTTTTGAACATGGTACAGGTTTAACCTCCCTCGTCTGGCATCCTCAGCAGTCGAGACCTGGCTGGTTCTGAACCAGGAAAATTGCCAGCCCTCCCTACTCTTGGCCACTGGCCCCCCTCTGATCCTCCAGCCTTCTTAGACTCTATTCCCCCAGCCTGTCAGAGGTCTGCTGGCTCTCCCCCGGAGAGCCAATGACCCATTCCCCCTGCCTGTGTTGGAGCGCCACTTCTGGGCACTGGGGCTCAGCTCCTCAGCCCACTGGGGCTCCCCTGTTAGGCACTGGGGCCTCTTGGTTCCACTCCCTTGGCCCACCAGGGCTCTGGTTCCCTGGCCCACTGGGGCTCCATAGCTTTGCTCCCCTGGGCCGTAGGTGTACTGGGGATCCACTCTTGTCTGGTCTGGAAATGCTCCTGGTCCCAGCCCATATTTTTTTCCACATGAGTGCTCCAGCCTTGAACAAAGTTGAGAGAGTAGGGCAGTCCAAATTACAGAGGTTCAGTGTGTGCTATGGAGATAGATTGATATGAATTCTATAAAGGAAAACTATGCTTCTTTAAGATATTAGAATTCTTTGTGTATCCTAACAAAAGAGAGGCTAAAAGGGAAAAGGTTGGCATTATTTATTTGGACCTTTGATAAAGTTCAACACATGAGTCTATTGACAAAACTAGGGTTTTGAAAAACTAGCACCACTGCATGTTCTGAGGCAGGATTCCTATTGTAGAACAAAGTATTCTGGTTCAGAATCACTACTGGTTTATATAATAATATAATAATATTGGTAGTGTTATAGTTACCTAATAGTTTTGGCATCTGAAAATGTTGGTTGCTTTTCTGAACCACTGCACACTGAGCTGGTTTTCAAGTACATGTCCTCAGTGATGCACGAGTCATTTTAGTCCCTCATCACACCAGAGCTTTTCAATGACTGCTAATTCTCCAAACCCTTCTCTGTTATTTCACACATCCATTTAACTTCACTGGTTAATTAATATTTTGGCCAAAGGAAGCCTTTATTAAAGACTCAACACACTCAGCTGTTCAAATTAAGAAGTTAGATGTCATAGTAAGCATTCTTGAGATTCTCCCGTGGTCCTTCAGCAAAACTGGCAAGCACTAAATATGACATTCTAAATATTTGTATGTTTTAAAACAAGCAGATTAAACAAAACAAAACCAACCTCCCCAAAAGCATTTAAAAATAAACATTCTGGCCTTCTTCTTCCACGAAAAAGAAATAAAAAAGGACACACCCACGTTTCCAGACTTAGAAAGATTTGTCCCTCTCAAGTAAAACAGAAGGGTGGACAAATAGAGACCAATTCCAGACTCTCTGAAATTAATGGAGAGCCTCCCATTGATTTCAGTGGGCTTTGAATCAAAACCTTAGAGAGGGATCAGTAGATAGGGTGTGAATGGATAATTTAACTCATAGAAAGTATTCCTTGGGAAGAATATTCTCTGCCATGCATCTGAGTCTCATTATTTAAGTACTGAAAATCTTCCTTCTGTTCAATAAATCCTTTCACTCCTTAAGCGATCTTGGTGACTTTCTGCTGGTGCTAGCAGTTATTTCATCTTATTTCTGACTCTTAGACAGGAAACACTGACCATACCAGTAATACCTTGTGGATTAAAAATTGCTAATCATTTTTATTAAAAGCTTTTAAAGAAGTTCTCTTTTAAAATATCAGGCCAGATTTACAGCAGGAGCAATCCAGATTATGTCTATAGCAATCAGTTTATATACCAGTGGAGGATTTGGCATGCTATTTTTTATGGTAATGTGTATGCAGCTCAGCTCTGCCTCAGAAGGTCTGACGTCCTAAGCAGGCTACATGACAGGAGGAGTAAAAGAATTAAAAGGAAAATGTAAAAGAATATTAAGTTAATAAAATATGCTTTTTATGTCTGTTTTTTATTTTTGTTTTTTGATAGATCTGGGATTATGGTGGGCTTTTCTGTATGTGACTAAGGCAATTTTGGGGGCAAATTCTGCTATATGTGATCAATGAAAGTTCAGTGCACACTTACAAAGGTGGAATTTGGCTACCTATGTCTGACTATAATAGTGGGGGAAACTCTTAACAGCAAAACATAAATTTGACAATTTTCATGATATTTTCCATTTTTTATCTACCTTACAGACAATTCACAAATGCACAAGTCAGACAAATTTGGACAAATACTAGAAATGTCATTTTACTAACTATTAATATTTCCATTACTTACCAATCCTTAGTGTTTTATACCTGCGGTCAGAGTAGTAGGCCAATTCTGGATTGAATTTGTACCTGTACACATCAGAATTTGTGGTTTATATGTATGCCAAATAAACCACAGCTAGAGAAGAGAGAAAATGATAGCAACGATTAGATAAGCCCCAGGTCTGGTCCCCTCAACTCTACAGAGGTATTGCTCTATAGGATCCCTGAGGTGCTTTCTCAGTGACTCACAGAGTGATATTTTATACAGAATATGGCCTGTACTTCTAAGCTAGTATGTGGATTGGCCTGACTATAGCCTCATGTATATCCAGCCCATACAACTTAACTTTTTTTCTTGCAGGGTTAATGTGCTCAGTAGACGCAGGGATAGGAGGCTGTGTTCGGGCATGGCTGGAAGTTTCCCAAGAGCATTTCAACTACCAGGGGACCAATGGCAACATGACAGTTGAATCAAGTGTGCTACCACTTCTGGATGGAGTTGCTCAATGAGCTATGTCGGAGGAGACTTATTTCTGCACAGCTGATCAGTGATCCATAGGATCTGGCTATGTGTTTCCTGTAGATCCTAGATCTCACCTCTTTCCCAGGCTACACCCAATTCTCTTTATTAAATTTACAAGAAGAGCATGTTGCACAAAAGAAGGTGAGTAAAGTTGTGGCTGTTTGTGAGAGATTGCTCTTCTCCCGTCTTTGTTTACACAGAAGGAAAGCATATGGATCACAATGACTAACAGTCCATGTGGGATTAAGGGCCGAGTAAACCTCTGTCACTGACACAAGAACTGGATTTATTCTGGGATAAATCAATGCCAATGCATTATTCCTCCTTTGTGAATAATTGTCTGTTTCTGTCTTTCTCACTCCCCGACCAAAATAATTCTGATTGCTACTAGCTAGGTAACAAGTGCCAAATCTATCATCTGTGGAGCACATGTACGATATGGAATTTCTCAGTACCTCTGTGGATCCACATGCAATTCATGCTAGTAATTTATGGTGTTACTAGAAAGTTATATTAAAGAAAATGCATGGTACAGTTGGGAAACTTTTTAATCACTTTTACTGTTGTGTCTTATCTTCTTTTTATGTTTAGGTGTCTTTTCTTCATGGCAGAGTAATGGAGCTGACTAGTGATTACCTCATGCAATCATTTGTGGAGTAAATTCTTTGGCTAAATCAGCTGTTGAACACTTTTGATGTACTAAGCAAGACAAGGTACTGTAAAGGGAGTTAGTTGTTCTTTCAGGATGATCATTGCTATAGGATACACTCCCTTTGTGCTTCAGCCAGCCAGGAAAATAATATGGGTGATGTCTCTTAACAAAGAGAGGGAAGGAACATTGGTATCAAGGACACCCAAAAGATTAGGACATATGAGTTTTCAATATTTGAAAAGAAAAAAATAAATGCAGAATTCCATGAAAAGATAACAGAAAAGGAAGTATTTTAGCAATAATAAGAATCCCAATTTCCCATTTAAATTTGTGTTACTCTGTTTCTAGAACTACAAGGTAATTTTTAAAAGATTCACAACAGCATAAATGCAGGTACAATCATAGAACACGACTTCCTCATCTTTGCAAAAATACACATAAAAGCAGAGAAAAGCTGTACATAAATCTACAGATGGGAAGATTCAGTATCATGTTTTTTGGAGGAGGCAAACAGATCCCAGTCACTTCCTGTAAAAAAAAAAAAAGTCAGAGAACAGCTTTGTGCTGCCATTAGTGGTGTTGTAGAAAATATATTTCTTATAAGCCATCAAGAGTGACTGATAAGGAAATACTGAGGTGAAAGCCTCTGAAACAGTAACAGAAGAACTAAGGGCCAGATACTCATTACTGGTCTCAGGCAATAGAAAGGAATCTAATTCTTGCTATAAGTGGTTAGCTGTGAAATTCCCAGTGAAGATACTAAATACTAAAATGTATATTAAGTATTGTACTCAGGTCCTTGTCTCAAGATCAGGCCTAGTTAAGTTATTGTTACAATTATTTTATGTCTGGGAAGACCAATATGAACAGGCTGAACACACACACTATAGAAACTCTTTTCTGTTTACAAATAAATAACGTATCTGCACATTTAGAAAAGTTACACACTAACTCAGCAAGGTGGAGATATGCAGAAAGCACACTGGAACATCCATACTCACACCATCCTTTGCTGAACAACCTGAAATGTTGGCCATTATCTTCCTCATTACCCTTCTTGTCTTTACCAGTGGCCATCATTCTGGCCCCCCTCCCAAGTTCTACATCTCTAGCTTTGCTGTCCTCAGATGCTGCTTTTATAATATGTTATTGCTGATGTTTCCATGTCTGATGAACATTCAATAGGGTTTTTTCCTTATTTCTTATTTGTATGTCCTCCCTTTACCAATGCTAAGGTGTCTTATTCCTATAGCTGAAACAAAATACAGGACTATGTAGCACTTTAAAGACTAACAAGATGGTTTATTAGAGGATGAGCTTTCATGGGCCAGACCCACTTCCTCAGATCAAATAGTGGAAGAAAATTGTCACAACCACATATACAAAGGGATACAATTAAAAAAATGAACACATATGAAAAGGACAAATCAAATTTCAGAACAGAAAGGGGAAGGCGGGGGGGGGGGGGGGGATGAGCTAATGATATTAGAAGTGATAGTTGGGGAAGCTATCTTTGTAATGGGTAAGATAATTAATGTCTTTGTTTAAGTTTAGGTGTAAAGTGTCAAATTTAAGCATTAATGACAGTTCAGAGGATTATCACCTCTAATATCATTAACTCACAGACATTTACCTCCCCCCTCCATCCCCTTCTGTTCTGAAATTTGATTTGTCCTTTTCATATGTGTTCAATTTTCTTTACTTGTATCCTTTGGTATATATGGTTGTGACAATTTTCTTCCACTATTTGATCTGAGGAAGTGGGTCTGGCCCACAAAAGCTCATCATCTAATAAACCATCTTGTTAGTCATTAAAGTGCTACATAGTCCTGTTTTTTGTTTCAGCTACACCAGACTAACACGGTTACATTTCTATCATTATTCCTTTAGGGTAGTATATGTTTTCACCCCATTATCATATACATCAGTATATTGCCATGGCATATTTGCAGTTGGAGGTTCCATCCAGAACCTTCCAGAAGCTGATGTCAGCTGCTGTTCTGTGGTTAGTTGGTGTCATATGGACATAAATCTCCCTAACATCCCACATCCAGTTCCTCATGACTTATGAATTACTTAAGTTTATCTATGCCAAAGGTCGGAGGTCTGAAGCCTCATGTTAACTGCTAAAGCTAGTGTCTTACAGGATACAGTCCTGTAGGTTCCTTGCATTACTGCTGAATAGAATAAAGCAGAATATAATGCAAAGCAGTAAATATAATAGAGGTAAGCTTGCCCCCTGGGATAGAATGGGAACCCAATGTATTATTTATATTTTCTAATTGTGTGGGTCAGATTATGTATGATCTTTGTATGAGCATGCAGAGAAATGAGGAATGTTCACGGATGCTCTCCCATGTTAGTGCCATCCATGGAGTGGCTAGTCACAACATGAGCCCTTGTGCTCTGTAAAACTCTACCACTTCTAGCCTCTGCAAAGGAGTTAGGTGGGACACAGAGCAGATGAAGCCACGATTCTGTTCATCACCACTAGTAAAGATTGCAAGCTAATTAAGGAGGAGAGCACATGCTACATACATCCTCTTTAAGTGCACAGGATCACCCAGGTTCCTTGGGAGGCAGAATGCTACCCTAAATTCCCTTGGAGGGGATACACTGCAGCATTGTTCCCCATACTTGTCTATAGTTTAAAGTCACAATATAACCCTAAATAAGAAGTTATCACATCCCTTCTGCCTTGCAACATAGGGATAGGAATATATACATGTGCATAGCTGAAAAGAGTGAGAACTGAGCCCAACATTTAGCAATTAGTATTTCAAAGCTGCTTCAAGTGCTTTAGTACTTTTGGCAGCCCAGATTTATGATAGTGACATGACGGTTGCTGTGGAAGTCTCTTATTGTCCAGCCACCTTTGCCTATAAACTCTTTGTCTTGATTTTTATGTGCCATGGTGTTCAGCCAGGCATCAAGTTTTGGTTTCAGTATTGCAATCATAATGCCACACAAGCTGTAAAAGCACCACAGAGAGCTGTATTTCATAGCCTAGGGTTTTGCACCATTCCAAACTCAACATTCAAACCAGTGTAGCATGTGACTGCTGCTAGAAGAAACAGGAACAGCTGGCAGTTGTGTGGATGAGCAAGCACAATGAAGGAAAACATTTTTCAAGCACTGGTTGGGGAGAGAGAAAAATATGCAAATAATTTCTTTGGCGCTGTTTATTTATTTATTTTGGCGCTTGCCCCATTGTTTATCATCATGATAGTGTTTGACAGACCATGTATTGTGGTTAGTGTGTATTTCAACTGTCATTATCTGTGAATGTGTGGGAATTATGATGTGAAGGATTCCTTTGAAGCTAGTAGCAGTAAGTGGTTTGTAAATTTGTTATTTGCACTGTTCATCATAACCTATTACATCTTGTTTAAGATAAATCTTATCATTTCTGAAAAGATGGATAAAGATATAATAGACAACACCATACTGCCATTTGTGGCAACCAGGATGTCTTCTCTGGTGTTACCCTGACTAGGAAAATAGGGACCAAGTTACGCCAACAATCATGGCTTGTTTTATACAAGGGGCATCGTATTGTTCAATTCATGAGCTCATAAAAGGTTTTCTGGAAGTGTGGCTAGCAGTCAGCTTGCTCATATAAAGGATTGTGGCAAACAAAAAGCCCATTCTACTTCCTTATTCTTTGTATTTTTCCTCTCCCATCTACATATTACCTCTTGCAAGCACAACACTAACTGAAACCACCTAATTGAGCAGAGACAGTGTGACTTCAATTGCTGCTATAACATGGGTCCACAAAAATGTGTCATTACCAATTCCATTAAATCATCTTCTTAGGAGAGAAGTTTAAAACTTGTTATTAAATGTCCTCTCATACAAATGATGTCTCACATGTTCATGGAAGCCTTGGCTGTATATGGCCAGAGACAAATCACCAGAGAGGCTATGCATCACAAGACCAGGGTATTCTCAAACTAGCATTCTATTAAGGCATATATTTTAAGGCTATGTCTACACAAAGGCTATGTCTACACTGTAGGCTTCTTGCATAAGAACAGCCGTTCTTGCACAAAAACTTGCAGAGTGTCTACACTGCACATGCATTCTTGTGCAAGGAAATTTACAGTAAATCGTTGGAACAGAGGGCTTCTTGTGCAAGAGTTATTCCTGTCCCCACAAGGAATAAGCCCTCTTGTGCAAGAGCTCTTGTGCAAGAAGGCAGTGTGGACGGGCAACAGGGGTTTCTTGCTCAAGAAACTGCTATGGCTAAAATGGCCATCAGAGCTCTCTTGCGCAAGAGAGCATCCACACTGCCGCGGATACTCTTGCGCAAAAGCACATCCTTGCGCAAAAGCACATGGCAGTGTGGACATGCTTTTGCGCAAGACCTTTTGCGCAAGAACTATTGTGCAAAACAGTTCTTGCCCAAGGAGCCTGAAGTGTAGACATAGCTTATGAATTTTCTTGGCAAAAAATATGCTAACGAGGGACTCTTTTGCATGAGTTGCAATCTTATTTGCATATTTTCTGCCAATCCATTTTTGCGCTGGGGTTTTTGCGCAAAAACAATCAGTGTGGATATTTTCTTTTTGCGTAAAACCCTCTTTTCCCACAAGATCAGTAAACCTCCTTTTTTGAGGCATAAGGATCTTGCAGAAAAAGGTGTTTTTGCACAAAAAGAAAATGTCCACACTGCTTGTTTTTGTGCAAAAACCCCAGTGCAAAAATGGATCGGCAGAAAATATGCAAATAAGATTGCAACTCATGCAAATGAGTCCCTCATTAGAATATTTTTTGCCGAGAAAACTCGTAGTGTAGATGTAGCCTAAGTGGAAGCCGTCTCTGTCTACATAGCAGGGTGAGCATAGATATGATGCAAGGTGGATTGTGACAGGATACAGTTTGCTCTTCCCCAGGAAAGCACAGCAAGTGAGGGGAAATTGGCTGTACTATGATATATTAAACAGAAGTCAGAGGACTCATATTCCCTGGGGTGATTGTTTTTTGAGGGGGCACTAGTGCAACAGAGAATGTGGGGAGTCAGGTTGGAAGAACTCAGCCCAATGGCCAGAGCAGTCCACAGTTTTTAGTGAAAGTTCAATTTAATCTGAGTACAGCGTCACTTGCTGTGAATGAAACATCATGACGGCATCTGAATTGTGAGTTCCCCAAAGTGCAGCAGCTGGCAGCATAAGCAATGGAACTTGGATGGAAGCCTCCATGAAGCCTGGATTTTGCAGATTCGAGCCTATCTTAGTGATGGACACAGGGGAAGAAGTAGTTTGAGCTGTACACAGACCTGGCCATTCAAGAGGATGACAACAGCAGGAGCATAACACTTTTAGTTTATTTTGATTGGGAACAAGGCAGAAAGATCCACAACCCTCTGAAGCTCACCACTGTCTCAAGCTTTCACAGCAGTACTTGGAGCCAATGGGACTTATTGGTTCCCAAATCACAATGAAACTGAAGTGATGTATGTTTTCACCAGAGGCCAATCCAAGGAGATGGGGATAGATCTCTGTGTTACTGTCTTATGTACATTGCATGCTAGTCTGGGGACTTGGCATATTCCCTAATTTAGGACAGGGTAGTCTGTGCCACTTAGGAACATTCCCACAAAAGTAACAGGTTGTCAACGTTCTGACTGGAGAAAACCAAATACCTGTCTCCGAGGCCCCACCCACTCCATCCGTCCTCCCTCCATCAGTCACTCTCTCTCACTAGCTCATTTTCATGGCTCTGGGAAAGGTGGGGAGGGTTCCTTTTCAACTGGACATCTGGCAACCCTATGCAGAAAGGTTATCTTACATTAGACTGAGGATCTGCAGCAGAAGCCCCAAGAGAACAGATGAAAGACCAAGCAAATCCCAAACTCCCATAAGTACATACAGTGAAGCAACAGAAAAGGAGAGCAGGGTTCTTTATCCATAGTGAGATGCATTTACTGTTGAGTGGGTAGAGGAGAAGTGCTCTGCAGTAGATAATATTGCAGAGAATGTGACTAGTTGAACCATTTTAGCAGCTGGTACAAGAGCAGAGGAAGGTATCCGAAAGATTCAGTCAGGTTTGTCCAAGAGGAGAAGAGTATATGAAAGAATATGTTGATATTATGACTCCCTCCTCAAGTCTGAGAGCATATTGTTACCCCAAGAACTGACTCAAAAAATCACAGAGTATCTCTTCTTCTGTTTACTTCTGGGGTCCCAAGATGTTGACCTTTTAATTTGTGAAAGGTGAAAGGAGGAGGTTCACCTAGTAGAATTGTCAGGGCTGTCTATGCCCTTC